AATATTTATTATCAGATTAAGGGACTGCAGGTCCCTTTTAATTAATTCAATAAATCGGGCCATATGTGGTTGATTGTAGAAGCTAAATATTATTGGATCGAAAATATAGCCCTAAAAATAATTTGGGCTCGGGCTGGGTGCCTTAAGTAGAAGGCATGGTCTAAAATTCCTCGGGAGTGGGCTGCAGGCCACCTGGGTGAGGGAGAAACCCCAGCCGTAGTTGGGTTTCATTGTGGGTCGAAGGGAGGGGCACGGGCAGGTTCAGCACAGTTCTTGGTTGTGGGTTTTGGGCGCTGGAATGAGGAGCCCAACCATAAAAAAAGGCTGGCTGCATGTGTGCGGGCCGTAGGGACCAAGCCCAGCCTTGTGGACTGGCATGGAGGACAAAAGTCGTGACGAGGGCCAAGGTGCAGGCTGCGAGCTTGGGCAACATAAAGCCCAGCAAGCATACGCTTGCTGGCAGTCGGGCCAATGAAGCATGATTGGGCTCAAGGTTTCAGGCTCTGTCGAGATGAACCCTATGCCGAGGCCTGGTTGCTGCAAGGGTCAACTGGGCTTCAGGCCAGCAACCTTGCCAACTGTGGTGGTGCAGTGGTGTGCCGCACCATGTCCAATTCCTTTTTCTTTTCTTTTTTCAAAAATCCCCTAGGGTTTAGGAAACCCTAAATATGCTTCTAATTTAATTTGATATTTTGGCTCACATATTCCACACAAGGTTCTAAAAGTTGCTATGTGCTAGTCGGATGGCGAGCTTGGGCCTAACGCCTAGGCAGCTAGGCGGGGCCTAGGTGGATTTAAGTAAATCTATCATATTTTGTGTAAATAAGTGTCTGCTTATACTTGAAATATATATAATTTCATCATAAACTACAAAATAGAATGTGTTTGTACCATACTTGACCAATCCCGAAACTACCGAGCACCGGCCAACGCTATACTGTCAAGGACCCAGAAGAGTTCCCCTCCGACCAGGAGGCCAATCACTACTCGACACGTGTCAAGATTAGAAGCCAATCAGAGCGCAGCACGTGTCGACATCAAGAACCAATCACAACATGACACATGTCAATGTGACAAAGCTACAAGTTTTTCTATAAATAGGGGTCATTCCCCCACAATATTGCCTAATGCCATTTTGTGTTAAATCATTCACAAGAACTCACTAAATTGAGAGCTTGATCCTTTGTACTTGTGTAAGCCCTTCACTACTAATAAGAACTCCTCTACTCCGTGGACGTAGCCAATCTGGGTGAACCACGTACATCCTGTGTTTGCTTCTCTGTCTCTATTCATTCACGTACTTATCCTCACTAGTGACTGAAGCAACCAAGCAACCAAGCGAAGGTCACAAAACCTGACACTTTCTGTTGTTCCAAGACCTCCGGTTTTATGCATCAACATTTGGCGCCGTCTGTGGGAAACGACACTTATTCCTACTCTCTTCAGCTGTGTCAAGCTGGTTTCTATCATTCGTACACTTTCTTTTGACCAGGCATCCCTCTCCAACATGGGAAGCGAAGGAAGCCACAGCACACAGAATGACACCCCCCTTGCACATAGTGCGAAACAACGAAAGAAGGAAGGAAAACGAGTTCTTCTTCAAGCTAAAGTCGATGAGTTGGAAGCTCAGAACAACAAGATAGCAATGAAGAATGAGGTCCTCCAGGAGCAATATGAGAAGCTCTTCGAGACACTCCACGAAGCTAGGCAAGCTCAGACACGCGAGCTTGTTGCCCCCGTGGAAGTCAACCATCAACTGGGTGCCCTCCAACATGGAGGGTCACATGCATTCGACATAGATATCCCTGATAGGGAACAGATTACCCCTCGACTTGATAATCAACATGAGGCTTCTCTTAACCCAGTTGCTTCAACCCGAACCATGAGAAGTGGAGGGAGACACCTCTCCCGATGTCATCTGTCATCGTTTGAGTATTGACCCCAAGATCAAGCCGGTGAGACAGAAGCGAAGATCTTATGACGCTGAACGATACGAGGCAATGAAAGCAGAAGTTGAAAACTCAAAGGCATAGGCTTTGTCCGCGAAGTCAATTACCCGACATGGGTAGCAAATGTGGTCCTTGTTAAGAAAAATCCGACCAAAGAAAGTCTTTTGCTTCAAAAGGTCTTGTGGAGAATGTGTGTTGACTACACCGACCTAAACAAAGGGTGTCCGAAAGATAGCTTCCCTCTTCCTCTTATTGACAGACTTATAGACTCTACGGCCGGGTGTGAACTCCTGAGCTTCATGGATGCTTACTCAGGATACAACAACCAAATCCTCATGAACCCTTCGGATCAAGAACACACAGCCTTCACTACCGACAGAGGACTATACTGCTATAAAGTCATGCCTTTCGGCCTAAAGAATGCAGGAGCGACTTATCAGAGACTAGTCAACTCAATGTTCGCCGAGCAGATTGGGAAGAGCATGGAAGTTTACGTTGATGATATGTTAGTCAAGAGCAAACATGCTGACCAACACATCACCAACCTATCTGAAACTTTCACTATTTTGAAGAGGTATCGAATGAGGTTAAACCCCAACAAATGTGCCTTCGGCGTAGGCTCTGGCAAATTCTTAGGTTTCATGATTAGCCAACGAGGCATTGAAGCTAATCCCGAGAAGATCAAAGCAATCCTCGACATGAAGGAACCGGTAACTTCAAAGGACATCCAGAGCCTTACTGGCAAGGTGGCAGCCTTAACCAGGTTCATTTCTAAGGCCACAGACAAATGTGCTCCCTTTTTTAAAGCACTTAAGGGAAGTAGGAAGTACATTACATGGACTGATGAATGTGCCGAGGCATTCAAAAACCTCAAGGAGTACATGAGTAAAGCCCCTCTACTCTCCAAGCCCGAGGTAGGAGACGTTCTCATTATCTACCTATCGGTATCAGCTTCAGCCGTAAGTTCCGTTCTCATTCGAAAGGATGGGAATATTGAGCGACCTGTCTACTACGCTAGCAAAGCCCTACAAGATGCGGAGACACGATACTCCAACATTGAGAAATTAGCTCTAGCATTGGTCATGTCTGCTCGGAAACTTCGCCCTTATTTCCAAGCACACGCCATCATCGTGCTTACCAATCACCCTCTTCGACAGATACTCCAGAGTCCTGACACGTCTGGGCGAATGATCAAATGGGCGATAGCATTGGGTGAGTTTGACATCTCCTACCAACCAAAACCAGCCGAAAAAGGTCAAGCAGTAGCAGATTTCATTGCCGACTTCACATATCCGGTTGACATTGCTTCTACACCTGAAGCAGTGGCTTCATTACCCCCGGAAGCTCAGAAGGTAGAATCAACGACCTCAGCATGGAGTCTGTATGTTGATGGCTCATCCAACCAACAGGGCTGTGGAGCGGGACTAGTCTTGACTACGCCCGACAAAGTAGCAATGGAGTATGCTCTTCGTTTCAAATTCAAGGCATCAAACAATGAGGCCGAGTATGAAGCCCTTCTAGCAGGATTACGTTTGGCCAAACACCTCGGGGTTAAACAAATTGATATTTTCAGTGACTCCCAATTAGTGGTCAACCAGGGTTACCAACAACTTTGATGCTAAGGACAGCTCCATGGCACATGGCAGCATATCTTGCGCAAACACAACTTTTGCTCAAGCACTTCCACTACCAGATCACCCAAGTTCCTCGAGCGGCAAACAGTCATGCAGACGCCCTGGCTCGCCTCGCCTCAGCTGTGGAAGACAAGATTGGAAGAAAAATTCATGTCGAACTGTTGGCAACACCAAGCACCATGGCCGCAGAAGTATGCAACTTACAACGGGGGGATAGTTGGATCACCCCGATCTATAATTTCCTTGCTCATGGCACCCTCCCAAATGATAAAGTCCAGGCTAAGCAAATTCGATACAAGTCTACCCGCTACCTGATCATCAATGATCAACTCTATAAGCGAGGTTTTAGCCTGCCATACTTAAGGTGTCTTACGCCTGCCGAGGCGGAAATCGTCCTTCGGGAAATACATGAGGGAGTCTGTGGAGATCATGCTGGATCTCGGTCCCTAGCACACAAGACTTTTCGCCAAGGATATTACTGGCCAACACTCCACCAGGATGCCATCAAAGTATCCCGCTCATGTGACAAATGTCAACGATATGCGGCTATTCCTCATTCCCCTCCAGAGCCTCTTACTCCTATGATCAGCCCTTGGCCCTTCGCCCAGTGGGGACTTGATTTGATCGGCCCAATGCCGGCAGGGAAGGGCAAAGTCTGTTACGCAGTCGTTGCAGTGGACTACTTCACAAAGTGGGCCGAAGTAGAACCCTTGGCAACCATTACTGAGGCAAAGATAGAAGACTTCGTGTGGAAGAACATCCTTTGTAGATTCGGCATTCCCAATGCGATAGTCACTGACAATGGGCGACAGTTTGACAACAAGAAGTTCAGGTTGTTCTGCTCTAAGTTCAACATCAGCTTATGCTTTGCCTCTCCAGCTCATCCCCAGTCTAATGGACAAGTTGAGGCCATCAACAAAATAATCAAGCGCACTTTGAAAACCAGCTTGGACAAAGCTAAAGGCTGTTGGCCAGAATTTGTACCCCAAGTTCTTTGGTCATATCGCACTTCATATCGGACTTCAACAGGAGAAACTCCATTCTCACTTGCCTTTGGCACAGAGGCGGTTGTCCCTGTTGAGCTCGAGCAAGCAACATTCCGAGTCCAGAACTACATTCAAAGTGAAAATGACAAACAACTCACCCTCAACTTGGATTTAGTCGAGGAACACAGAAACCAAGCTCACTGGGTCTTAAAGAAAAGATTACTCTGCGACAGAGTCCCGAGTGAAGGCACACTTAGTCCAAACTGGGATGGACCGTATGAAGTCATTGGCATCAGTCGCCCTGGCTCTTACACACTTAGAAGCTCCGATGGCAAGACCCTTGGCCATCCATGGAACGCTGATCACTTGAAGTACTACTACAAATAGACTCACGATGTACAAGTGTTGAGCTATAGCCGTTCGGCATCCTATGTAATGAAGGCCATTTGGCAATGAATTCAATAAAGAGGTAATTTAGCCAACTCAGCCCTCACTCTTTTACATTCCTAGCAAGGGAACACTCAAGTGTTGAAACCTCAAAGCAGATATATCCAACACGAAGCAAAATCTAAGTATGTGTCGACAAGACTATACAAAGAAAGGAACAACCAAACAATGGCTTATATCCAAACAATAGATCTATTCATACATAGCCAAACATGCATTAATAATAGTGCAAACACTCATAAACACCTAAAATCCAAAACTCTCAAGCTTATAACATGGGCACATGTTATACACACATCAGACTACTACATCCAGAATACATGCAGATAGTAAAGACACTGCTATTCATTCTCATCTGAAGCCGAGCCCCTGGCAGTATCACTCCGTGTCCTACCATCATCCTCTGCATCCCCAAGATCCTCTTCACCATGCTGAGTCTGTGCATCAGCACTACCTTCATTATCAGACTCATCTTCGCTGCTAGGATCAACGGCAAGGACAAATGTCTCGCCCTTTCGATGATGCTCATCTATATCTTCGTGGTATTTTCGAAGAATGCTCCCATCATCATAACGATCAAGGACGGCCATCCATTTCCTTTTTTCAAAGCGAGCTTCTTGAGCACAGTAGGGTTTAATAGCAAGATGAAAGGTCGAAGAACTTAAGTATTCTTGCACAGCAGCCTCCCTTTCAGTTGGAATGCTCTTCTCCAGTTCAGAAATCTCAACTAAGGCACCATCCAATTCTCCCCTAACCTTGGATACTTCCAAGGTAGCCACCTCCAACTGTTTTTTAGTTGCCTCAAACAATTTCTTAAGCCTTAGGTTCTCACCATTTCGCCTTTTCAAGCTCTCCATGGTTTCGTCCTTCAGTTGGAGGGCCTGAGTCAAAAGTCCCTTATTCCTCCGGGCCTCGTCCACAAGCTGCTTATTCTCCTTCAGTTTTGCCTTGTACCGCTCAACCTCTTGCAGTCTGTCGTGATACTCGGCCATGACCTGCATGGCAAGACGATCATCACTACCTAAATAATGATAATAAAGAGGAAAAAGTAAGGAAATGACAAAGTAACACTCACATATGAAGACAGCTTCAACATCCGGTCGCAATCCGATTCATCCTTAGCTAAGGGCTCTCCGAGCTCATCGAAGGCGAATCGACGCCCTGCCAAGCAATTGTTGATATCCCCAAAATCCTTTGGCCGCGTGGCAACCCTCAAGTCCTTCCACGGGACACTGCCAGCTATTTCCTTGCCTTTCCCCTCATGGCGGGAACCAGGATCACTTTCCTGGACAGTGTGCTCCATAGTAAGAGGATGAGGCAACAGTCGGCTCCCTTCTCCTGCAACTACGGCAGCAGCATTATCAACGGCCTTGACTCCAGTCTTCCTAAAGGCAGGCCCCTTAAGGACCACATCTTGGGACTTAGGTCTAACGGATGGTTCCCCTCGGAACTTATGAATTTTCTTATGCGGTAGGATGTCTTCCGAAGGAACTAACACTGGTGCTTTCCTTTTATGGGTGCTAGTCCCTGTTTTCTTGCTTACCTTCTCCACTGCATAAGGAAAATCAAAATAAGAAATACAACTTTCCAAATAAAGTAAGGAATTGAGCTAAGTTTACATGAAGGATACAACTTACTCGATCGTCCCTGGCTCTCGGAAACTAAGGGTTGGAAACCGTACCGACGAAATAAGGGTCGTAGCTTGCTTAAGTGTCTATCCTCTTTGGGCACCCTCAACACCTTCTCTATGTCAGATAGCTCCTGCCCAAACAGTTGGATGGTGCCCCGCGTCACTACATGAAGCAAAGTGTTAGAAGCAAGAAAAGACCACAACAAATAGCAAATAGTACGAACGGTGGATACGTTACAACCTACAGTCTGGAAGTGAGTAAGCACACGTCGCTCAGGCGTGACACCCTTATCATACTCCCAATCATTATACAGAAAGCACCAACGGTTTTTCCATGTGTAGTATGCCTTTTTCTTACCATACACAATACGCTCTCTCTCACTCCGACATGCACACTCGGCATAACCAGTGCATGATTTTGCTGGGCGCATCTTGTAACAGTAACGCCACTGATGGAAGGAAGGCTCACACAACCCACACTCCATCCAAATGATATAAAATCCAATCAAAGTATCCCAGAAACCAGGATTGAGTTGCCCAGGTGCATATCCGATCAAAGATAACATCTTTTGCAACCACGGATGTAAAGGTAGTCTCACCCCTAAAGTCAGTAATATCTGGGTGTAGAACATAACATGACCCTGGGGAGGCTCAGAAGGCCATTCTTCATCATGTACCAAACGTATCCCTACACTACGAGGGATATTACATGACTGCCTTAGCGCCTCAACCTGCTTCTCATTATCTAACAAGTTATTCTTTAGATGGTCTGCTGTGAACTCAGAGCGAACTATGGGTATGGCATCAAAAACAACCCCCTCACCCAACGCCATGGAGGAAGAACTAGCAATAGCTAAAGTTTGACGGTTGGGAAGATCATCCAATGTTTCTCTAGTACCGGACTCTAACAAAGACCCTGAAGACTCCGACATTGCAGACTCAGACTTAGAGCTAAAGCTAGAAGAGCCCTCATCACTAGAACTTCCAGGCTCTGACATCTACAATAAGAAGAAACAAATTCTATCACTACATGCATGATCAAAACATAAGGAAGTTCCTATATTACCCACATGAAGATGGTGCAAAGCGATGCCGGAACCCTTCTCAATCAGAAAGCAATCCGTCTTCCACAGTCACTACAAAACAAGCAAATGAAGACCGTGTCAAGCGCCAAAAAAAAAAAAAAAAAAACAAAAAAAAAAAAAAAAAAAAAAAAAAAAAAAGGCTTCATCCAAAAAGCTTCACCCGAAAAGCTTCACCTCCAAAGCTTCACCCAAAAACTAAAACCTTCACCCAAAAGCTTCACCTAAAAAAGCTTCACCCACAAAGCTTCACCCAAAAAAGCTTCACCCGAAAAGCTTCACCTCCAAAGCTTCACCACAAAGCTTCACCTAAAAAGCTTCACCCACAAAGCTTCACCCAAAAAAGCTTCACCCGAAAAGCTTCACCTCCAAAGCTTCACCCACAAAGCTTCACCCACAAAGCTTCACCCAAAAAAAGCTTCACCCGAAAAGCTTCACCTCCAAAGCTTCACCCACAAAGCTTCCCCTAAAAAGCTTCACCCACAAAGCTTCACCCAAAAAAGCTTCACCCGAAAAGCTTCACCTCCAAAGCTTCACAAGGGCCCAAAGCTTCACTTAAAAAAGCTTCACCTACAAAGCTTCACCTAAAAAAGCTTCACCTAGAAAGCTTCATCTACATACTTTCACCATCAAAGCTTCACCTAGCAAGCTTCATCTACAAAGCTTCATCTACATACTTTCACCATCAAAGCTTCACCATCAAAGCTTCACCTAGCAAGCTTCATCTACAAAGCTTCATCTACAAAGCTTCACCATCAAAGCTTCACCTAGAAAGCTTCAACCCCAAAGCTTCACCTACAAAGCTTCAACACAAAACCTTGCTCCAAATAAACAAATTTTGTTCACAAAACCTAAACATTTTTTGTTTTACACCCACAAGGGCCCAAAATCTTCCTTCTTATTTATTCACTTATATATGTTCCCAAACATATTATGATAGATCAAATAATAATTCAAAGTCCAAAATTTAGTTATGGACAAAAATACAAGCAATTCACCAGTACTGAAGTTGCTACAAAAACTGGAATCTTCCCCAGCCTAGAAATCCAACAAAGCTTCGCCTCCTTTTCTCTATCAAATTTTTGCAGCTGCTGCTTCTCTCCAATGGAGCTGAATTTTGGACACCCTCTAGTTCTTGAGCAGATGAACAAATTTGGATATGTTGTAGTTAAGGAATTAAAGAACAACTTTCATGAAGCCAACTTTGTGATTCGAGCTACAGATGATGGTCTTATATTGAAAACCAATTCCGGGTGTTAGGGGAAATGAAAAACAATTCCACCAAAGAAACATCATTATGATGTTTCATCATTATGGTGTTTTCATCATTATGATGCTTTCATCATTGTGATGCTTCCATCATTGTGATGCTTCCATTATGATTGTAATGCACCAACGGTTACACCCTCTATCATAGCAGTATGTGTGTGTATCTCCCTATAGTCATCCTGTGCAAGACTATCGTAGTCAGATGGCTTTCCATAAAACAGCTACCAACCGTTACACCTTCTGCAATTCCACTTATTCGGGCCTAGCAACCTTCATAAACAAAATATATGAAGAAAAAGTCCGGGGCTACCACTTAGAAAACAAAAGAATGAAGTTTTGGTACTTACGACATGGACTATTAGCAAGACACCTCATTCGCCAACTCCCTCGACTAGAGACTTGGGGACTCCCACCATATGCTACTACGCCTTGGTACTCAAAAGTTCGTGACTACTCAGTGACTTGGATTTTTCAAGTCTCCAACCGAGAAGTTTTTCTCACTCGGGAAATTAAGGGAACACTACCTCAAACTACATGCTTCACTCACAAAGCTTCAACAATACAGGTTTCAACAAAAGCAAAAATTCAAAGAACTTTATGAAGAAGGCTTTGGTGTATTTAACACAATATGTTGAAATGAAGCAAAGCTTATTTATTAATATTTTCGATAAGCCACAAATATGTACATATACATGAGTCAAAATAAACAAACAAAAGGGAGCCTTCACAAAGGTTGCTTAGGGGAAGTCTCAGCAGTCGGTAGAGCCCCAGAAAGAGAAAGCACCGGAGGGTGGTTATCCGGAGCCTCAGTACTTGACAAAACCCCAGAAGGAGGAGGCATTGGAGGTTCATCATTTGAAGCTTCATTACCAGGTACAGCCCCAGAGGACGAAGGCAATAAATGCCTTTGGAACAAACCCACAAACCGCTGATGATCAAGTAAAACCTTACCATCAGATTCCTCTTCATCTGGGTCAAGCTTCCTCTTCATGTTTGTAGCATAGTCATGGGCGAGCCGGTGCAACTGCAACTGCTTATTCTCATGCTTGAGCCCTCTAATCTCCTGTTTGAGACTCATCACTTCAGCAGCCAATGATTCAACTTGGCGGGTTCTAGCAAATAGGCGTTGGGCCATATTAGACACAGAACCTGCACACTGAACACTAAGAGCCAGAGAGTCCTTAACAGCCAACTCATCAGACCGTTTGGAAAGTAGTCTGTTATCTTTGGGAGTGAGAAGGTTCCTGGCCACCACTGCAGCGGCGGTCATATCATTCTTCATCACAGAATCCCCAACGGTAAGAGGACCAGTAGGGGATATGAAGGATGTGCGCCATATGTTGTCTGGAGAAGGCGTGGCTGTCTCTTCTCCAAGGTTCAAGTCAAAACGACGGTCGGAGGGTCCAGACATTTTCAAATGTGTTGAAGAAGGAAGAGGTCAGACAAATCAAGATCTTAGAAGTGCAAGAAATGAGCTTCTACTGGTAGAGATTCAAGTGTGCTGTGGAACTTAATGCCAGCCTCTATAAAAATCTGCACTCGAGGGCCGATCTCAGAAATCGAAGAGGCGAATGCTTTCTCAAAAGCTGGGCTGCTCAGAGACCACGAGGGCCGATCTCAGAAATCGAAGAAGCACCTGCTTTTGCAGCCTCGTCAGTACCTGTCACATGCACAATCAGCTTTGCGGAAATTACGGGCAATCTGTCGAAGATTTCTGGTGAAGTAGAAAGCACGTGAATCTTACTGATCAATCACCGCTCTCCATATGCACCATCAACTCCTCGGGTACCACATATAACTTTGTCAAAGATCTCTGACAAAGTTTAGGCACGAGAATTTCGAAGTGCCAGCTACCCTACTATTACCCATAAGGGTAAAGGAACAGCACCACTGCTTGACAACTGGAAAGTCCCTATGTGTGTCGACCTCCGTGTTTTGTGGCAAGACAGGTTGGCAAGAACGACCAACCTTTACTCACATTCGAGAAAAGACTCCCAACATAATTACTTTCTCAAAAACCGGAGTAGCACCGCTTTCCGAATCTCGAGAGTCAGATCCTCGACGGGATTGCTTGTTCGAAAACCGAAGAGGCACAACTCTCAGAACTTCGAGAGCCAGATTTCCTTAGATAAAGCTTGTCTGTAATCTCCACACGTAATATCAGCTTTCCAGATACCACATACCACTTTTTCAAAGTGCTCTGACAAAATTAAAACACGTGAAGCTGGCAGCTCCCACTACATTGCTGTGACCAAGAAGGGTAAAGGAATAGCATTACTACTTGTTATTGGGAAATCCCTATATACATTGACCTCCCTCCTCAACGGACAGGCAAACCTGCAAAAATGCTCAACCCTTTCTCACATTCGAAAAGGCACCCTCAACATAACCTCTCGAAATACTCAGCTTTATTTCCCCCCGATAATACCTCAGCAAATAAGCCACACCAAGAACAAGAGTATCTCATATCATCAGGGTCGAAAGCAAGAGTATCCCATATCATGCTTTCTCCCTGTCTTTGTCTTTGTCCTTGTCCACACCTGCAGGACAAGGAGAAAGAGAGCAGTTAGTCGGAACCTGAAATCAAACCTCCAATTTGGAACTGACTGCCTGGAGCCTTTGCCTGGTTGCTTACTTAGCATTGCTCTCGAGTACTCATCCTCAACTGCTGTCAAGGTCACGAATTCCACCGACAAATACCTCATGACAGTTGATCAGATATTGGCTCTTTACACTGAAGCTGCCAAGCGTGGATGAGTCACTATGAAGGAATGTTCTGAAGGACCATTTAAATGCAAAGGTTGCACACCACTTCTGCCATGCAAAAGATTGAAGCAGAAGGTTCAACGGTGAGCTGAAACAGATCACTACAGCACGACACCTTTCCATACCACATTCATTATTCCGTCAACAGCAAAAGTATCCCATATCATCAAGGTCGAACGTACTCTAGATTTGATGGACTTGTTTTGACCCTCAAATTTTTGAGTCGGCCTTATACTCTGAAGGGCACCAGAAAACCCTCCAGCACAGTTCAAGAATAAGCCTGTGGAAAGTTACTTCTTCAAAAGCAAAAGTATCTCATATCATCTCTTATCCATTTGCTTCTCCTTATCCTGGCAGTTGAATGAGAGACAAGGAGAATGAGAACAATCAACCGGAAGCCGACGTCAAACCTCTGATCCTGGGTTGCTTACTTGGAAGTTTGACTGCTTACCTTGTCTGTCACCTCTTTCGGCAGATCTCCTAGCTCGGCGACTTGGGGGACTCCTACTATAGGGTTTGTATCACACTTGACTAAGCCCGAAACTACAACTAAGCTTCAAGTGAAATTGATACATTACCTTGTGCGTCAACATCAGCTAAGTACACCATTCCCGGATGGAGGAAAGGTACTTCCAGAGAAGGGCAGATGAAGATCAGACCACACTTCGGTACTTAGAAGTTTCGTGATTACTCAAGGGATTGGATCTTGCAAGTCCCCAACCGAGGAGTTTCCCTCACTCGGGAACTTAGGGGAGCACTGTTTGTACCATACTTGACCAATCCCGAAACTACCGAGCACCGGCCAACGCTATACTGTCAAGGACCCAGAAGAGTTCCCCTCCGACCAGGAGGCCAATCACTACTCGACACGTGTCAAGATTAGAAGCCAATCAGAGCGCAGCACGTGTCGACATCAAGAACCAATCACAACATGACACATGTCAATGTGACAAAGCTACAAGTTTTTCTATAAATAGGGGTCATTCCCCCACAATATTGCCTAATGCCATTTTGTGTTAAATCATTCACAAGAACTCACTAAATTGAGAGCTTGATCCTTTGTACTTGTGTAAGCCCTTCACTACTAATAAGAACTCCTCTACTCCGTGGACGTAGCCAATCTGGGTGAACCACGTACATCCTGTGTTTGCTTCTCTGTCTCTATTCATTCACGTACTTATCCTCACTAGTGACTGAAGCAACCAAGCAACCAAGCGAAGGTCACAAAACCTGACACTTTCTGTTGTTCCAAGACCTCCGGTTTTGTGCATCAACAGAATGCATATATATTATGAAGTATTGAACATAATGAAAACATGTGAAATAATGATGTAATGTGTGTTCATTTAAGTATGCAACAAGTCTCTTACAATTTATTGGAAAAAAAAACCAAAATGCAAAATGAAAGTTATTTATTTTCTATCTAAGTGAGTTGCGACCTAGGCAAGTGTTTAGGTGGGTCTAGGCGGGTGCCTAGGCGGTCTAGGCAGTGCCTCAGCAGGTCTAGGCGCCCTTTCTTAATTTTCAAACGCCTAGGCATCAATCGGTGTGGTGGCTAGGGGTGGGTTCGGTTTCATTCGGTTCTGTTTTTTGCCAAAACCGAAAACCAAACAGAATTTACTGTTCGGTTCGGTTTTCTTTCGGTTTTGATTTTTTTTTTTATAACAATCACAATCTGTATGAACATAATCATGAAATTAGTCATGATTCCGCATGAAGATGTATTTGAATCATGCACAAATTCATATCATAATGAAGTAACATACTCTTTATAAAAATCAACAAACTACCCAATAATTTTTGTTCTATTCAAATATTTTTTACCTTGCAGTTAGGAGCTGCATGCTTTTCTAGTGCAGAAGCTTTGGACTTGTAGATGGAAACGTTCTGTGTCAAGACGTCTTTCATTTTCATGCCTTCTTTCCTTGGGAAGTCACCCACCATGATGGTGCATCCATCATATGAATTTACAAGTTAACAAGCAAGAACAAAGTCGTAGATCTAGAAGATCGATTAGGACTTGTTAAAAATTCGAAGAAACTGTGAGATTATGGATTCGATATAGTACCTGCGACTTTAGTAACCAAGATGCAAGCTGGTTCTTTCGCCATGGATTCCGATGAGTTGAGGAGGAAGACGAATCGATCGATCCAAAGTGACGAAGTGGATTTGCAGATGAGAAGAGCTTACAGTGAAATGGCTTAAAACATTTGGGCTTAAGTTTGCCTTTCAAGACATTTGGGTTTGAAAATTGGTCTTAAAATTGGGCTAAAAACATAAATACCCGATATAAATAAATAAATAAAATTAATATATTTTCAGTTCGGTTTTCGAATCCTAGAAACCGAAACCGAACCAACTAGATTCAGTTCGGTTCGGTTTTTTCGGTCTCGGTTCGATTTTCGGTCCGGTTTTTTGAACCCACCCCTAGTGGTGGCCAGCCGCCTAACTCCTAGGCGGTGCTAGGCGGGGATTTTTAGAACAGTGATTCAACATAACAATTTAATTGTGCGATGCATGAAACAAATATATATATATATATATATATATATATATATCGAAATGAAAATATAAACATAGAGGGGTTCATGCATCATGGGGAATGTTTTCATGCTTCGTGGATGTTTCAAATATCTTCTTTTATTTTAAGCATACTTAATTAGCAGAAAACGAATAAGCCTTTGAATTTGGTGGATGATAGCCTCCTCCTACAATGCGTCAAGTCCTCAGCTTCTGGCAAGAGCGTGCTGATAACGTGTTGTAGGCCTATTTGATTGAACGATCTAGGGTTTAAAGAGAGAGAGGGGGCCGACAATATTGAGGGAGAAGAGAGATTGATTTAATTGTGAGGTGTGTTTGATTCACCCCATTGTGCCTTTATTTATTGTAGTAGGATAGGTAAAACTTTTCCTTTAGGATTACAACATTTAATAGGTAATATACTCCTAATAGGAATATAAGATACATTCTTAGATTCCTTAGGATTTACACAATCACATTCATATTCTAAATATGACTGCAACACATGGAATATTTTAGCCCGAAATTTTTAACAATTGATTTTTAGCCTAATTTTTTCGATAACTTTTTAAAAATAAAATTTATATAGATTATTTTAATTTTTTTATGAACATTTTAACTTAAATATATTTAAATTTCGACAAATAATGAAAAATTACTATACCTACCTCATTTTTAAACACAAATGCATAGGTGGGTAGGAAGGAAAAAAGAAGAAGAATTGTTTGACACAAGTGAATTTTGTGTGGATGTGTGAACACATACATAAGAATTTGTAGAGTTATGAGTGAATTTTGATTTAAATAAAAAAAAGAACATTTTTTATTACAAAATTTTTATTCTTATCATATATTTTTACTACATATTACGTGTAGCATTAGTCTTTTGATTATAACATTAATACAATAAAATAGTTTTCCTCCATACTAGGAATAAGGAAGTAGTATACTTTATTAATTATACACTTCCTCAAACCCATACAGACTAAAATTTAAACAAAGACCTCAAACAAATATTATAAGAAGCCAAACCATAGCAACCCCATTGCCATGCATCTAACCAGTGTTCTAAACAGTCCTGTATAGGTATTAGGCGGCTGGCCATCGCCACGATTAACTTTTATATGTTTAAAATTAGGGGTGGAATAAAATACTGAAAATACCAAATTGAACCAAAAAAATTTCGAAACCGAACCAAAAATTCTGAAAATTTCAATACCCAATACCGAATTGATCCCAAACTTTTGGTATGGAAATCGGTCTTACATTTCCATTTTTTCGGTAATCCTGAATCGAACCGAAATAAAAATATATATTATTTAATTTTAAATTTATATTTGGAATCGTAACATCTGTGGGAATTGATTGAATAATGTCGACTGTTGAATACAAATCAAAGTTCAACCCTCAGAAAACTCAGTCGCTCTCTCTCCGACTCTCGAGCCCCCTCGACTCGACCTCACCTCACCTCAGAGCTCAGACAACCTCTCCATCACCACTCTCCTCGCCAATTTCTCCCTCCGTCTTCCAATCCGGCCACACCCACATCACACAAGTGACTCACCTCTCTGATCTCTCTCTCAAATCAGGTAAATTAATTTAGGGTTTGAAATTTAGTTTAGGGTTCGAATTCTAGATTAGGGTTTGTGAAATTTAGCACTTGGAGTTGGAACTGATATGAGTTTGGGATTTCAGCTAAATTTTGATTTTCCAATGCAGATTCTGTGCGCTTACTTTGTGGTGCTTCCGCTGCGCGATGAGGGTGCAATTTCCTTAGGTTTGTCGAGCCTGCCGAGCCTGTTTGTGAGGTCATTAGCCCTCACCTCCATTGCCGCACCAGTTGCAACTCTCATTTTCTCTCTGCCCAATGTTTCGAAAGGCAAGGTATGTGTGGGTATTTTCACCATTTCTTCGATATGGGGATCTTTGAAATTGTTGTTTTTTGTGGTAAAGATTGATTATTTTCATGTGGGGTGTCTCTGTAACTTGTTATTTTTGGTTGAAAACAAAAGGGTATAGCTGGTTCTTGCCAGATTTTGACACACTGTGTTTCTGCCATTTTTTCGATATGGGGAGTTCAAAATGATTGTTTTGGTGGTTAAAATTGATTCTTTTGATATGTGGTGTTTCTGTATGTTTCTGCCATTTTTTCGATATGGGGAGTTCAAAATGATTGTTTTGGTGGTTAAAATTGATTCTTTTGATATGTGGTGTTTCTGTATGGCGAGACTGATTTTTCTCTCGGACCAGGATTCCCTCCCCTTCTCTTTACATCCCCTTCCATCCCCTCCTCTCACATACCTAACAAGAAACAAGTAGATGTCTTATCCTTACTTCCCTTGCAACGTTTCTCTGGGGGGTTCTTGTTAAGTGTCTGCAGTCGAGGTAGTAATTTTTAGTTGGATGGTGTCATAATTGTTAGTTTATATGTTTAGGGGCATATAATATATAACTCCATTTTCTTTAATATATGGATAGGCATTATGCAGTTTTTGGTGGAAGTATTAGCATCAGTATTGGTGAAGAATTATGCAGTATGTTAGGATTGTGCCTATATCTCGGACACAGGATTAGTTTTAAGATGTAACATTTCAGGTACTGCCGTGTAATCTCTTTTCATGAAGGCCACTGCTTGAAACGTGTGGGAAACATTCCCTTGGATGAATACAATGTTTCAGTAATATGATGCATGTGTCGTCCTAAAATAAGCTCTCCGAGCACTTGGGATTTCTGTGAGTCATGTCAGTGAGATGTTCATGCTCATGAGTAAGCTGTATCCTAGTATAAGCTATATCCTTGGGATTTCTATGTATGAAGTTAAGGGCTAAAAGCCCAATATGTATGAAGTTATGCACAGATTATGCGCAGATTGATATTGATTGCACAAATTGAGTTGGGCTATAAATCTAAATTTTAATATAAAAGGTTAAACTTTAGCCCAAAAGTCCAAAACTATTTCAGAATTCCTGAAATTTGAGATTCTCGAAAATTTCGAAAATTTGGTTTGGGACCGATCTTGACATTGGGATTCCTGAAAACATCGGTTTGGGAATCGGGACAAGGGTTACGGTTCAGTGTCCCATACCGAACCAACCCTATTTAAAATATAAGAAATGACACCAAGACTTGCTTACTGATCATCCAGACCACCGTTGTTAGCTTCTCACTTGACAACCCTTTGTGGCTTATGCAATGCATTGCAAAAGATTTTTCTTTTTGAACAAACAATATTATCTACACTACAGGGGAGGAGGTGAGTTTAGTCTCACAATGGGCTAGCAATAATGTGATTCAAATTCGTCTTTGGCGAGAATCGAACCTAAGACCCTTCACTTATAAGCGAAGAGAAATATTACTAGACTGTAGTACTAGGTGTCGTATTGTGAAGTATTTTGTTAGTTGCTGATGTTATTTATAATTTTTAGATAATGATAAAAAAAAAGAACAATTTTGATTACAAAATTGTTACTCGTATCATATATTTTTACTACATATTACGTGTAGCATTAGTCTTTTGATTATAACATTGATACAGTAAAAATGTTACTCTTATCATATATTTTGATTATAACATTGATACAGTAAAATGTTTAAAATATAAGAAATGGTACCAAGACTTGCGTATGTGTCCCTCCCACCCCCCCCCCCCCCAAAAAAAAACATTGATACAGTAAAATGTTTAAAATATAAGAAATGACACCAAGACTTGCGTATGTGTCCCCCCCCCCCCCCCCTTCTTCCTCCTCCTAAACAACCAATGGATAGAAGTAGATAAATTGGAATTAATTCTAACTCTCACATAAAAAAGGAGTAATTAGGTTTTCATCCTTATTTTTACTACTCTATTGATTAAAATCTTATTACTTTTCAATTTTTGATCAAGGTCCTTTGTATTAATAATATCATTAATTATTTCAATAATAAAATATTTTTTATTTCTAAATATATTCATTTAATATTAAAAATGTTACAATTAGTATATTTATATTTATGGCTAAATTTTTTATCATATATTTTTATTTTTAGTTTGTACCCATTTTTAATTTGCAACCCTTTTTTAATTTGTACCAATTTTCCTTTCAGTTTTAATTTGTACCCATATATTAATTTCTTTTTGTGCCCATATTTTTTAAAGTTTTATTTGTATTGTACCCATATTTTTTTATTTATTTGTACCCATTTTTATTTTTGCTAAATGTACCCATGTTTTGATACAATAATTTTTTGGTTATTTTTTATGAATGTACCCATGTTTACACACACACACACAATAGTATATTTATATTTTAATATTTTTAATCCCACAAATTATGGTTTTTTATTTAAAATCTCATTACTATAAACAACTATAAATTTTAATTTTTAATTTAAAAAATATAGTAACGTACATAGAAATTATCAATTAATTTCAGGGACTTGGATCAAAAATTGAAAACCAACAAAGTTTCAATCAAAGACTGTTCATAACTAGGGACCGCATCCAAAGTCTCCCTTTAAAAAAAGTATTTGCATTTTATTTTTTTAATTAATCATACGCACTAGGTCCCTGGTCGTCGCCGGAGGAGCACCTAGTGCCTTTTAATCCCTTGCTTCTAACAGCGTTAGACTCATCTCATTTATGGAATGGGATTCGTACTTGGTTGGCGAAGAAGCATTTGCTTCAACCGAGTTCCTTTCAGTAAAGAAACCAGGTTGCTTGGGTATAGGCAATGAACCCTCCCCACCCAACATTAGGACCACAGATGCCATGTTTGGCCTATCTTCTGGTTGTTGCTGCACACACAGTAGAGCTATATGAATGCATCGTGACACTTCTGGTGGCGCACACGATCCATCTAACTTCTCATCCATTATTTCTGTTGGCCTTCCTTCAATCCAAAGTATCCAAGCCTGAAATTAATTCACGAAATTTATATATGATGATTCTCCATATACGATCCAAATATTTTACTAAACTTGGGAAAGTCAATCTTTGCTTAAGCTTACATGTCCTAGAAGGTTAAGCTGGTGGTCTGGATGATGAAATCCCCTGTTCTTCTTCCCGCTAAGTATCTCCAGCACCATCACACCGAAGCTATAAACATCCGATTTGACTGAGAAGAGTCCATCGACCACGTACTCAGGAGACATGTAGCCACTGTTAAAAATGAAATTGGAGTTACAAGCACATTTACAAGCATAACAATGTACAAAGCAAGTTTCGAGCTACCTACTATGTTCCAACCACTCTATTAGTATTTTCCTCAGTTTGATCTCCCCCAAATTCTCTAGCCGTGCCAAAATCAGATATTTTTGGGTTCATATCTTTATCTAGTAAAACGTTACTGGTTTTGAGATCCCTATGGATGATCCTCAGTCTAGAATCTTGATGAAGATAGAGAAGTCCTCGAGCAATTCCTCCGATAATGTTGATGAGCTGATCCCAATTGAGGAATTTACTTCTTGTATCGTCTAACCAATGAATCATAAATGTTAGTTTAATCTTCCCTTAATTCGACAACAAAATTATGACAAGACTCAAGACAGATTAATTCACGAAATTTATGTATAGAGGGTCAAACCAAATATGAAGTAGTCCAAGCTTTTGTTTGGCATATATTCATAGATCAACATCTTTTCATCCCCTTCAATACAGCAACCAAGAAGCTTTACAAGATTTCGGTGTTGAAGTTTAGCAATTAATACTACTTCATTCATGAATTCTTTGGTTCCTTGCCCAGAATATTTCGAAAGCCTTTTCACTGCTATATTTTGCCCTTCCTTCAGGATTCCCTAGAAACCATCATTCGATAAGTTGATTTATATATTTGTTGAAGGAAGCACCACATTCTAATCACATTTTAATTTTTTTTAATACCTTGTACACTGGTCCGAAACCACCTTGTCCCAGCTTGTTATTGTCTGAGAAGTTATCGGTGGCTCTAGATACAGTGGCCAAATCAAATGTTATCAACTCCATGTCCTGGCTTCCACCTTCGAAACCAAAGTTCTTTTCACGTATGTTTTTCATGTTTCCTGAGACAGTAGAAGAATCAATCAAAAGCTTGACCATATGTACTAATTTTTAACTTAATAATTTCTACCTCGCGCTTTCGATTTCTTCTTCTGTATGTAGAAAACCAATCCTAGTATTAGCATTCCCATGACTACTGCCCCAGAGAAGACTATGATTGCCACTTTCCTTTGTACACCAGAGTGCTTGCTTCTCTTAGCGCCATCTGAAAGATCATAGCAGATTGGTGATAGTATTCAATTTTCGATCACGGACGTTTTATTACAACTAAGTTCAAATCAAACAAGTGCCGGAACTAAAAAATATCTACATAATTTCGGTAAATCCTTAATGCCGACATTTGTTTGTGCTCAACAAAACTTATTAACAATACCAGAGAGTAATGAAGCTTGAAATCAAGTAGAAATAAGTACCTAATTCGGAGGGGGGCATCCGGACAAAAAGATCTTGCCCAACAGAGTCGAATTCTTTTATATCAATGAGGTCGCCGAACCAAAGCAAACAGCCAGTTCCTCCTCCCCTAACATCCAAATTTGCATATGCTGTGCAAGAGCAGTTTGTCAAACACATTTTCTTACATTCCTCGAGAGACATGGTATTATTGATCCGTGACGAAGATGTGTCTGGCAATTTCACCCGTATGAACTTCTGAAATTCATCTTGATTCGTACAATTCAATGGACTTTTACGAAGACATCCTGAAGACGTGTTTTTCATAGTCCAGTAGTCTCTTGGAGATTTTGGTACAAAACCTTGCAAGCATGAACATAAAGGAACAGAATCAAGCTTGCAGAAAGCGAATGCACCACACAAATCGTAAGTGTCACAACCATCTGCTGGAGCAGAGTAAATCATGTTCCCGCTATGTGTTTTATCAATCCACAAGAACCGCTGCAAACCACCAGACAGGTTGAGTACCAATCTCGAATGCATCGAATCGCGCATGAGGTCGAATTTGTAATAGGCCTCACTATCATTGGACACAAATTCGATTTTAAATGCTTCATTAGGACTAAGTTCAGGACTCCCAGTAAAACCAAGGCCATTCCATGACCCCAACCTATAGTGTGGAACACGACCTTTCCGAAGGACTAGTTGGGGGTATCCGCTATGATCTATGGAATACGAGAAGTCACCTGGAGATGGATCCTCTGCGGCTTTCCACGAAGACAAAAACCTGTTTTTACCTGTCGCTAAGTTCCATCCAAGCTTCATTCCTGGTAGTAAGATGTTGCCTGGATAATCAAAACTCTGCCACACAAGGTTGCCCTCCGAGTTGTCAGCATTTCCGTCTTTCACAACAAGGTTGCCGGACTCCAGGAGCTGAGCAACCGGGCTCCTTAGGGTTCTTGAAGTTAAATTAGATGACCACAGACTGCCATTTTTGTCACTGAAAAGAACAAGAACTCCTCCATCAGTGATGTTCAAAGCTCCAGAATGATCAGTAAGTGGAGTTTCTCTGTTGGCCACCCACACAACAATTTGAGGAGATATTCCATTGTACCATATTCCAACGTATCGATTCTTCGAATTACCTGGGCTAAAGAATCCTAGTTCGAATGTTCCGCCGGAGGAAACAAGGGACTCTCCATCTCTGAGCGATACTGTCGGAGTGATGATATCTTTTGCAGCGGAGATGCTTGGAGAGAAGAGGAAAGATGATAAAACGAAAAGCATTGTAAAGATTTCCATAGCTCTTAAGGCAGAAAAACTAGTATAGGTCAAGGTTTAGATACATGAAAGATTTAAGAAACTTTTCTTCAATTCACTTCTTAAAAGTAGATGAAACATTTACTAGGGACGTAACAACGACAAGAATTAAAGGTGTCCTACGCTTGGTAGGTCAGGATTCAGAGAGCAACATATATTAGACATGTAACTGATATTCCATGCTAATGATACAACACCATGAAGGAAAAAAAAAAAAAAAAAAAAAAAAACTAACACATGTCATTGAGTTATTGGTATGAGATGTCACGATAATATTGTACTCCATTTAAGTCATTCAACAGAATTTGAGGACACGGAACTATATATGTTTGGAGAGAGATTCTAAGTCCTAGGGGATTTAGCGTAGAGGTTTGTGTGCTAATTTTTTGTTTTTGTTTTTGTTTTTTTTAATTTTACTCAAGTCTCATGTTTGTAATAACTCTAGAAACTTAGTATGAGTTTTGATCTCGTCATAGGCAAGTTTGGTATTCTCGCTTTAGGCAAATTAGCCATTGTGTGGTCTATATTAGCCATTGTGTGGTCGATATGGTGGTTGAGTTTGTTAAATGTACTTTTAAATGGCGACTTAGGATCACAAGGTGATTTGGAGTCATGATATCCTCTATAGAGTTCAAATAGAAGTATGATATTGTTCAATCTCACAGTTAGTTCGAGAGCTTTCATCTCTCACATGATCTTACAGCACTAAGTGCATTGGTTTCTACGCATCCTCCATCTCTTTCAATTTCTTGCTACATTTGAGGTTATATTTTGTAATTTTAGATCTTTATTTGCAAGTACTCACATATTGGGATTATATTCTTAATTTTAGATTGAATCTAGTATTTGCCTCTGCACATCCTTTGTCTCCTTTAATTTTTCATCGGACAAAACTTCACCCAATTCCAACATACATGTTGTGAAAAGCCACTTTCTTTTAACAAAATCAAGATCAACAACATGCATTGCATGTTGTCTTGTCTATAGCTTTCAACAACAACATTTGGTTGCATGTGTTTTATCTTGAGATAGATTAAAAGTATATGAAAAAAAGGGATGAAGAAAGGTGGTGGGAAGGAAGGAAAATGAATGAGAATGTATGTCATGCACAATTCCATTTAGCTCTTACCATTTGTTACCTTTCCTTTTTCTCATGTATTGTCTCATTTCTAAAAAGTAAATAAATAAATAAATAAAATCTAAATTTAAAATTAAAATGCAAATGATTGTCAAACGAGTCTTAAGTTTCTTGAACGCAAACTTTCTTTAGTCGCATTTTGAAATTGAACTCAAGTCATTAAAATTTAGCACTTAGTCGAATTTATTTTTTCTCTCATCAATGTTGGGTCGTTTGCGGCACCAGTTCTTCAAAAAGTTTTGAACAAGTCCATTGTACTGCAAGGAACTATGTATTGAGCATACCTTACTCTGCGTAGTAAACATCGAAGATTTGCATTCAATGCGTCAATATGATGGTACGATTGAAAATGAGACGATTGAATTTTATTACATTTGTGGAAGAACAAGGCAATAATAATCCTACTATGATACATTTTCAATATGCTGAAAACACGATTTAATACACAAAGTGTATAATACAATTAGTTGAAAACTTGAAAAAAAGAAATTTCAACCAATATACTAATACACTTAATGTATCAAATCGTGCTCTTGACACGCTAAAAAACTTCTCATACTATTATAATGCTTACATACAGGTAGCTGGAGCTAACACACAGGCTGCAGTTATGATTCGGACCCTCAAATGTAAAGACATGGGTCTGTAGTTTGGGTTTTGTTGGACCACACATAAAAGCTAGGCTGGCTTTAAAATTGAAGGTGTGTGAGTTGGTCTTCTTTGTCAACTCAAGCCCGAAGCTGATATTTTCACGTAGTCGCGACTGTCTCCTAAAAGATCGGTGCCGTTTTAATGCTACAAGGTCCACGTCATCCGTCACGTTCATTAACATAATAATTTTTAGCCCTTGTTGAGAGAGATTATTAGTATGCTCGAAATAGGATAGAACACCACGTGTCATTATAAATTTGAAGATTTTTTTTTTATTTTTAAGTATCCCTCTAATTATATAATACATGTAGTGTTATATCTCTTATTCCAGACGCACTAAAAAATCTCTCATTTACGGGGAATAACAGATTTGATGTGCTACAACTACTCTCTCATATTTTTCATTTGATAAATATGTTCTCTATTCTTTAGGGAAATAAATTAGTACAACGAGATACTACAAAAACTGGTTTTATTTGTAAGTCACGTTTGTTGGGACAAAAATAGTATTGCTGACTTTTATGGCTATTGATTGCGTCTATAAATGAACATTTCTTTTTCTAACAAAGATTTAAGCCCATGAAAGCCTTTGCACGCCTTCATTGTGGCAGAACCAGAAATTCAGACTTGGATTGACCTTTAGACCGTATAGAGAAATTTAAGGTCTTGTTTTTTGTATTGTCATGAAAAATTTTAATCAAAACAAGACTGGTGTAGCTTTAAATTTTTAGTATTGTATTAATTATATCATAAGAACAAAAAAATTGTATGAGCTTTGATAAAGAAAATGTTAACACATTTGATTTGATTTTTTTTTTAAGTCATGACTTAAAATTTGTTCTTGCTCTAAACTGTAAAGGCCTTGTTTATATTAACTAGCCAAAAAAGTGGATATAGTTTTTATGTGGTAAAGAATAAGGCTAATTAAAAAAAATGTGAGTTTGGTTTTTACATATAGTAAAACAGAAGACAAGTTATAATCCCAAAAAAAAAAAAAAAAAAAACCGGACTTAATTCTTATATGGTCAAAAAGAAGGCAAAATTATAAAGGTTTTTTTTTTTTTTTTTTTTTTTTTTTCAGTTTAAATTTTTTTTGAAAGATATTGGCGGCCCACACCAAGAAGTCTCGAACCAAGGTCACTTGACATTGCGAAACCCACCATTAGCCACTGACCACATGCCCATTGTTTTCTAAAATTTTCATATAGTAATCTTCTCTAATGTAGGTCTGCAACACTTACTAAAATTTACAGTTAAATCTTTAAAAATTGATAGTCTTGAGACTAAAGAAGATCTATTAATTTAGCGAGTGTTAAATAATCGATAAATTAATAAGTTATTAATTAAGTAACTAACAATTTTAAGTAATGTACATTGTATTTAGTTTTTTATTTTACAACCTAACAATTTTAAGTATTTGTTCAACCAAATAAAATTCCTGAATCTACTTTTTTTTTCTTCCAAAAATAGATTGTACATTATTCTATGTACTACATTATTCATTTTATGAGCATTTACGCAAGCAGAAACTCTATTTAAATAAACAAAAGCCATAGTAAGTTAGTAACACATCACATTATATATACAACAATGACTTCTAATCTCAATGGTGTTAGTAACACATCACATCATATATGCAACAATGGCTTCTGATTTCAATGGTGTAAATAAATTAGAGAATTATTAATTTATATATTCTGTAGAACCTATTTGAATTTTTTATAATGTATTATCTTATGAATTCAGTGAATTATTAATTTAGCACGTTATGCTCAAGTTGGGACTGACCAAAAGTGTCACAGCCCGTCCCTAAACTTATTGTATTATATTCTCGATGATGAGAATTGGCGGAATTACCCCTGAGGGATGGATCGAATCATTGGACTTGGGCAAACTTTTGGATTTATTTTATTGCCCTAGTTTATTTTGGTCAAGTTTAGACCTAGATATTTTATGGTTGGTGTTGTAAAAATGTTGTTTTGATGATGTGTTAGTGGGAGGACCACACGCACACACCCAAAAGATCTCTCCCTCTCTCCTGTGCCTTTTCTCTCTCTCCTCTCTCTCGATTTCTTGCAAATTTTGTACAAGTTTTACGGACGACCATTGCAACCCCCATTTCACGCACGGATCAAGCTTGTGGTTAGCATCATCATCTTCATCTCATCGTCATGAACCCATCCGTACCATTTTTAGGACGTGAAAAATTTGGGATCGTGAGAACCAAGAGGAAGCCTTGGTTCACTGGAGTGGAGTTAGGAGTGGAAAACTGAGAGGAAGTCTTGCTTGCAAATTTTCAAGTTAGGCCAATCTTAATTGATCGTGTGCTCGAGGCCCAGATGAATGATGAAGAGACCCAAGAAATAATTCAAGCAAGGAATCAAGGGAAGAAGAAAGATTTCAAGATTCGAGAAACCGATGGTATGCTTATGCAGGAGAGTAGAATGTATGTGCCGAATAATGCATGAGTTAAAGAAAGAAATCCTTGATGAAGCACATATTTCGGCATATGCAATGCATCCAAGAGGCACCAAGATGTATCATACCATTCACCCATTTTATTATTGGCCAGGTATGAAGAGAGAAATTGCCGAATATGTGAGTAGGTGTGTCATTTGCCAATAGGTTAAAGATGAAAAAAAGAAGCCGTTTGGGTTGATGCAACCGTTTCCCATTCCATAATGGAAATGGAAAAATATTACCATGGATTTTGTGTACAAACTTCCTCGTACACAGAATGGTTATGACAACATTTAGGTGGTAATTGATCGGCTTACTAAGCCAGCACACTTTATTCCAGTAAGGGAAAAATATCCATTAAGCCGATTAGCTAAGTTATTCATATCGAAAATTGTGCAGTACCATGGTGTTCCAGTGGATATTATCTCAGATCGGGATCCTAGATTCACTTCTAAGTTTTGGATAGTATTCCAGGAAGCTCTTGGTACGAGATTACTTTATAATATGGCATATCATCCTTAAACTGATGGGCAATTTAAGAGAACTATTCAGACATTAGAAGATATGTTAAGATCTTCAGTACTGCAGTTAGGCGATGGTTGGCATGATTGTTTGGATTCGATGGAGTTCACCTACAACAACAATTACCATTCAAGCATTGGTATGGCACCATTTGAGGCACTTTACGAGAAATCTTGTCGTACTCCTTTATGTTGGTCAGAGGTTGGCGAAAGAGTTTTAGTGGGCCTTGAGATTGTGGATGAGATTACTCAAAATGTTCTACTAATTAAGTCTAACCTGAAAGCAGCCTAGGATCGACAAAAGAGCTTAGCAGACAAGCATGCCACTGACCGGAGGTATAATGTAGG